GAAAATCCCAAATGTGTTTTAGTTTTAACTTTAGTTGGTTTCTCTTTTTTAGTTGGGTTAATTCCATGACCGGGATAAGAACATTACGGAAGGTGACACGAGGACTCTGGATCTCATTGGGGCCCCTTCTCTCCCCCCCCCGCCCCCGCCCCACTCAGGGTGCTGTAGAGCAAAATCCACCCTGAGAACCTCCTGGCAGCGTCTTGCTCTTTCTCTCCCCAAAGCTCCCTCTGGCCCACTGGGGGGCATTTTCTGCCCTTAAGAAATTCTTCCTGATACCCAGCCAAAATCTGAAATTGAAGCCCAAAATCTCTGTGCCTGGCTTTGATCTCTGCCTCTTCAGCCCCCTCCCCTCCCCAGACTTCCTTCTCCAGACTCAGCAAATCAGCCGCTCCCCCCCATCTCTGCTCATTTTGTTTTTCCCCTCCCCCCCCGATTTGCCCAAACCCTTCCTGAAATGGGGGTGCAGCATTCTGGAGCGGTTTTCCCCATGCAGAACCGGGAAGAGCAAAGGTGTCTTTTGATTTTGACCTTCTGCTTCTGTCAACGTGGCCCGGAACTGTCCTTGCCCTTCTTGCTGCCACCTCATAGCGCCCCCCCCCAGCTTATGTTCAGCCTGCGATCCACCAGGACCCCAGACCCTTTTCACATGCAGTGCACCCTCTTTGGCCCAGCTGCCCAGAGGGGTCCTCCTCACCTTCTTTCCCTCCTGGTGACAACATCTCTGCTTTCTTCCTTCAAGGCGGCAATGGGGCCCTTGAGAGACTTCGCATCTCTTTGGACTGCAGGCGGCTGGACGTGGGCGAACCAAGTGAAACTGTCTATTGGCAGCTGCGGCTGATGCTGCCCACCAGCTCCAGAGCCAGGATGAAGCCTTCTTCCCAAGAGGTGGATGCCTCCACTAAGGAAGCAGGTGGCAGCCAGGATCTTCCTCCTCCAGAACTGACCATGGGTGGATGGCAGAGGCATCCGCAGGGGGCTGCCAACCACATTGAAATGGTGGGTCCCTTTTATGTGCTGGGGAGCATGGCATGTGCATTGCAGTTCTGCTCATGCTCAGCCTTTGGACCCGTAGTCCGTGGCCCTTGTGGGTAGCCCTTGAAGAGCAGCCCAAAGGGGAACCTTTCCTCAGCTTCACCCCGAGGAGGAAACCGCAAAAGCTGTCTGCACTTGGGCCACGTTGCAGGGACCCCCTCAGGAGGCCATCCTGGTAAGCCTCCGGAGCCTGTGAGTCCAATAAAGCCGTCCAGTAAGGAGGGAGTTCATGCGTCGTGCTTTTCAGGGAGCGTCTGGGGTGGCCTGAAACTCCCGAGCAGCCGCTCCGTCAGGGTGGGAGGGGGCAAAGCCCAGAGCGTCCAAGGGGACGGAAGCTCCAATGTCGCCTTGTTCTAGTTCAGAGTCCTGGCGCCAAACTTGATTCCGCTAAGCCTTTTCTGCAGAATTTGTCCCATTTGTCAAGAAACCGCAAGACAACATCGCCATGATGGGAACTGGAGGTCGGTCTCTGCTTTGCCCCCTGGCCAATTTCACCCGCACGCCTGCTCTTTGGCCCCGATGATCTCGGCCACCATCTGCAGCAACACACACACACACACACACACACACACACACTTCAGGTTCTCAATAGGGTAAAACGGCCTTCATAGCTCCTCTTTCCTGCCTGGCTTCTGTCAACCGCCTCTGATTTGCATATCATCCTTCTGGCTGGGGATTATGGATACTGGAGTCCAGTGCATCTGGGAAGAAGATCTAGGACAGTGGTTCTCAACCTGTGGGTCGGGACACCTTTGTGGGGTGGTGGTCAAACAACCCTTTCACAGGGGTCGCCTAAGACCATCGGAAAACACATATTTTCAAAAAAAAAATACAGAAAACCTATAATAATTGTATGGTTGGGGGGGGGGTCAACACAACATGAGGAACTGTATTAAAGGGTTGCGGCATTAGGACGGTTGAGACCCACTGATCTAGGAGCAGGCTTGTTTTGCCCGACGGCTGGCACTGGGCCTCTTGGCCATGAGCCCCTCTGGGCTGGAGGAAGGGAAGGGTGGGCGGAGATGGGGCAGTGACTTGGGCACAGGGCGGCTTGTGTGGACGACTCAAGGATTGCAGCTCAGCAGGGTCAGCTCCCAGGATGGAGGCAGAGCTGGGCCTAACCTGGGTCTGCCAGCATCAAAGGCTCAGGCCCAGCCTTCTGGGAGGAAGCGTGAGGCCACAAGAAGGGAGTGTTTGGATGCACACAGGTGCACCTGGTGCAGTGGTGGGTTTCAAAAATTGTTCGAACCTACTCTGTGGGGGTAGCCGCTTTTGTGGGAGTGGCTTGCCGCCCATGTGACCGGATGGGAGTGGCTTGCCGCCCATGTGACCGGATATGAAGATGCCGGCGACACTTGCCAGAACCACCTTAAATCCCCTCCGTGACCCGTCAAAACCGCACTCGACTAAGCCGCGCCCGATTAAACCGCGTTGCTGACGTCATCAACAGGGCGAAAACAGCCAGCGTGGAGAAAGAAGGGCGCTTTAAATAGCGCTTTGAAAGCAAGCCGATTCAAGTTAAGGTAAGGGTTAGGTTTAGGGTTAGGTTTAGGGTTAGGTTTAGGGTTAGGTT